TGGTCACCTAGCGACCAACAGCCAAATAAACTAGCTTACTTGACTTTCGCAATGCTTTTTTTGGTAAGTTCATGTGTTCACCTTCGACTTAAACTTTTTATTTATTACATCACGCATAAACACAGTAGTCTAGTTGACTTTCTGGATGTTATTCACTTAAATGTGTCCAAACCGTATGGCAACCTGACCAACGGCCAAATAAACTAGCTTACTTTTGCTATGCTTTTCTCGTAAGTTTGTGTGTTTACCTTCGACTTAAACTTTTTTCTTATGACATCACGCTTAAATAAGGTAGCCTAGTAGACTTTCTGTATGTTATTTTCTTAAATTTGTCCAAACCGTATGGCAACCTGACCAACGGCCAAATAAACTAGCTTACTTGACTTTCGCTATGCTTTTCTGGTAAGTTTGTGTGTTTACCTTCGACTTAAACTTTTTATTTATTACATCACGCATAAACACAGTAACCTAGTAGACTTTCTGTATGTTATTCTCTTAAATTTGTGCAAACCGTATGGCAACCTGACCAACGGCCAAATAAACTAGCTTACTTGACTTTCGCTATGCTTTTCTGGTAAGTTTGTGTGTTTACATTGGACTTAAACTTTTCTTATGACATCACGCATAAATAAGGTATCCTAGTAGACTTTCTGGATGTTATTCTCTTAAATTTGTGCAAACCGTATGGCAACCTGACAGTTATATGGCTTGCGCATGCGTAATAACTATGCGTATGCTAGTCTGACGAGTTGAGTGAAGCTGACACCCCAAACTCTGCACTGGTGCAGCCAAAAGCAACCACAACAAGAGGAGTGTGTGTCTGTGTGTAAATAAAAGTGGAGATAACGGCTTTATTTTCAAACCATGACACTGTTTAAAGAGGTGCTGGGCACGACGAGCTGAGTGAAGCAGACAGCACCGACTCTGCACCAGTGCAGCCGAAAGCAACCACAAGAGAGCATCTGCAGGAGTGTGTGTTTGTGTGTGTGTGTGTGTGTGTGCATGTGTGTGTGTGTGTGTGTGTGTGTGTGCAACAGTTTAAAACAAGGTCAAAAGTAAATAAAAGTGGAGATAACGGCTTTATTTTCAAACCATGACACTGTTTAAAGAGGTGATACGCACTGCTGCAGCAGAGACGATCAGATTAAAGATGACACCTCTTTTTTTTTTTCTGTCTCGTTTTAAATAAGTGATAATCTCCCTCAGACCGCTTCTCTTTCACTTGTCTTGTCTACTTCTCGTTTTAGCTTCTAGTCAACAGGATGTGTGCCAAAACCGCAGCAGTGTCAGAAGAGCTGCGTGCCTGTTTCAACACGCTGCAGCTCTGGGCCCCGAGCGCTCAAACGCAGGGCGATTAAAAAAGCAGCAGCTGAACACAGCTGGCCACATCTGGCCGGACGGCCCCGTGCGGGTTCAGGGAGACGACCTCCTCCTCCGTGGGAGCAGAACTCCACAGGACAGACAGTTGCGCCGCCGTCAGTTTTTCGTCAAAAAGCCGGAGAAGTCAGATAGGGGCCAAGTAAATAGGGGTGGGCTGTAACAAGAGGAACAGGAAGAGAGGAGAGGCAGACGAGGTAACAGGCAGACGGAGAGCGCAGAGTTTGTCACGTCGGTGTGTGAAGCGCTTCACGGCTTTCTTCTTTTTTTTTTTTCCCCCCAACAGCCTAGGTGAATATATATAAACACGAGGCGAGCGGGGAGCCGGATCATGCTTTGTTCGGTCCACGGCGGCCTCGGGATGGTGGTGTGATAAGGAGATAAAGGACACAAAGGTAAGACGGGCGGGGGGGGGTGAGTCGAACGTGTGGTGTGGTGGACGGAGAAAAGGCCCGGGAGGAGAACCGGTCGAGGAGAATCCGGCCCCTCGTTTTTGTGTTGGGGCCGAAACGGACCGAAATGTTTGTCTGACAACAGTCGGACTCTCCGCCGGAACATCTGTAGCCGCCGGTGGCAGGAACTTGTCGAACTGGTTGTTCGCATTTTTCTCCTGGAAGCACAATAACACCCCAGGCCCCCCCCCCCCCCCCCCACTGGCTTCGGCAAGTCCCCGTAAACACCTTTCTGGTCCTGGCGGGTGGGTGAAGGTCCAGGGCTTCGTCTGAGGGCTTTCTCTGTGTGTGTTTGTTTTCTGTCAGAGAGCAGAACCAGAACCAGAGTCAGGATGGAGCAGCTGGAGCCCCTCGTCATCACGGAGGACGGAGACGAGGCGGGGGCCGGGGCCCCGGAGGGGGGGGGGGACCCCAGTGAGGGGGGGGGGCCCGGGGGGGGGGGGGGCCCCGGGGGGGGGGGGGGGGCCCCCAGTGAGGGGGGAGGGCCCGGTGAGCGGGGGGGCCCCGTGGAGGACGGAGGGGCCCCGAACGAGGACACACAGGCCTCCGAGCTCCAGCCTGAAGGGGCTAGTGACCAAGAGGAGGACCTCAAAGAGGTCGGTGGTGACTCAGTTAGCGGGTTTGTGTGTGTGTGGGTATGTGTGTGTGTCTGTGTGTGTGGGTGGTAGGCTAGTCACGATCCGATATCTGGATCGGATCGGCCTCCGATATTTGCAAAAAACTGCGTATCGGCCGGCAGGAGAAAATAAAGATCCAGCGTCCAGATCCAGTTTTTATTTTGAAATCTAATCCCATGTTAGCATTAGCATTAGCATCTGCTAACCCACAGGTCTGTGTCCTAACCATTAAGTTGTTATCAGAGTAAATCCCTGTTCAACATGAGTCTGACAACTAAGTAAGAAGAATAAATAACTTTA